CTATGATATTACTGAATTCACTAATGAGTTTTAAAGGTTGCTTCGTAGATTTCTTAGGATTTTCTATGTAAACAATTGTCATTTACAAAGAAAAAATGTTTTTTAATTTCTTCTCTTCTGTATTTTTGTCTTTACTTTTTCTTGCCATATTGCAGTGGCTAGGACCTCCAATACAAGGTTGATTACAATTATGTCATTGTTAATTAAAATTAAATCATTAATTTGAAATATTCTTCATTTTTGATATAAACATTTAACCTATAAATTTTCCTTTCAGAATTATTTTAGGAAATATTTATGAAATATATTCAAATATTTCACCCCCAATTTTTTATATTATGGAGTAATTATTTAGTTTAAAGTATTTTCTGACTTATTCTGTAATTCCTTCTTTGACTTATAAGTTATATTTAACAGTATAAGTTATATTTAACAGTATATTGTTTATTCAAAATATTTGAGACTTTTCTAAATATCTTCTTTTACTGGTTTCTGATTTAATTCCTTGTGACTAGAGAACATAATTGTAAGATTTCAAAGTTTTAAAATTCATTGGCTTTTTTCAGTGGCTCCAGCATGTAGTACGTTTTGTTTTTTTGATGTTCAATTTATGCTTTCAGAGGATTATGTAAATGTCAGTTAGATCAAGGTGGTTGATAATATTGCATAGGTCTTCTATGATATATGGATTTGTGTATGTGTGGTGTCTGACTGTCCAAAGAATTACTGAGAATACTCTGATTGTTGATTTGTTCATTTCTTCCTTTAGGTCTGTCAGTTTTTGATTCATATATTTTGAGACTATGTTTTTAGATGCATACAGGATTGTTAATGTCCTCTGTTAAATTGACCCCCTTATGAAATGTCTTTTTATCTCTGGTAATATTCTTAAAGTCTTATTTTTTCTGATCTTACTATAGTGTTCTTTGCTTTGTTAAATTTATGCTTGCATGGACTACTTCCATTCTTATATTTTCAGCTTATCTATGTATTTATTTAAAGTATGTCTTTTTTGTGGACGATTTGCATCTTGTATTCATTCTGACAAATTTCTGCCTTTTAATGGAGTATGTTGTATATTTAAGTTTATTGTTACTGTTGCTGTGATTGGATTTGTCTTTCTCTTTACTCTTTGTTTTCTATTACCACGTGTTTATTGTTGTTTCTTTTTTCTTTTCTGCTTTCTTTGGAGTTAATTATTTTTTAGTATTTTATGTTAATTTTCTATATGCCTTTCAGTTATATTTCTTTGCCCTTTTTTTGTTGCTTTCTAGATTACAGTAGGCACTCTTAGTGTTGTAACAGTATAGTTGCTTTTATCACCTCCTGTTGCTTGTGCTATTGTTGTCATATAAATTACATCTACATACTTTTTGAGTTACAGTTATTGCTATAATATGTCATCTCCCTTTTATAGAAATAAGGAGAAGGAAAGAATATCACCTTTTACATTTACCTACATACTTACATTTTCCAGTTCTCAGTTTTTTTCTTTTGATTTTGAGTTTCCAACTATTGTCATTTCTATTCATCCTGAAGAATTTTTCTTGAGCGTCTCTTTTGTGCAAAGTTTGCTAGAAACAAATTCTCTCAGTTTTTGTTTATCTGAACCTGTTTTTTTGTTATGACTTCTTTTCCGACTAACAGGTTGAGAGTTTTTTTTACTTTCAGTTCTTTAAAGATGTTGTTCCAGTGTCTTCTGACTTCCATTGTTTCTGATGAGAAATTGTTATTCATATGCTTATGTCTCTGCATGTAGTGGATTGTTCTGCTCTGGCTGCTGCTAAAGATAAGCAAAGCAGACATTAATTAAAGCCAGAAAAAATACGTTCTGTTTAGTAACTGCTACTGTAGGGACTCAGCAGTCAAGAAAAAGAAAAATTGCAAAAAACACAACAACAGCAAACTGTAGGTAGTGGGTTGGTCAGTGTCATTGCTATCCGTGTAAGCTAATGGCGTTTGTTGAGGTTAGGTTTCTACCTTCTCTCAGACTGAGAAACAGAGGCCTTGTCCTTCCTGATGATTGTATTTCAAAGGAGTGGCTTTGGGGGTCCTTGAGAAAGACTCCCCTGATGTTCAGGACATTTCAAAGACACAGGAAGTATTTACAATTGTAAGCTTTTTAAATAAATGTGCGCTAAGAAAGAAAGGTCAGAGGCCTATCATCAAGTGTTGGCCGGAACAAGTGGTAAATTCTCTTGGCAGCCATATGCTTTTCTAGACAGGAACTCGAGGAGGGAGAGGGGAGGCCTTGTTTGTTCCAGGGACACCAGCTTAGCCTGCTAGAAGCTGTGCTAGAGTTGGTCAAGTCTCTTAGTGGAGGGGTTAAGATGCAGTTATTTGTGCTGAGAGTTACTGCATTTCTCATTGCTTCAACAGTTTTTTTATCTTCTGTTTTTAGCAGTTTGACAGTGATATGCCTAAGTGTGGTTTTCTTTGTATTTACACTCCTTGATGTTCATTGAGCTTTTGGCTGTGTAAGTTTAGTTCTTTACTAAAGTTGAATATATTTCAGACATAATTTTTTTTCCAGCATTATTATTTCAAATAGTTTTTCCTTGTCTGTTCTTCTCTTTCTGGAGCTGCACATGTTACTGAGACTGTTCATTTTGTTATTCAGTCTTTTTTATTTCAGTTCTTCTGGTTAGGGTAATGTCTGTGAGAATACTTTGAAAAGTTCATGGAAAAATAGAATCAAACGATAATGTGAATCTTTCTGTAGACTTTTTGAAGATCTCTTGTGTTAATCCATCTTCAAACTAACTGTCTTGTCTGTCTTGTCCAATAATCGGGTTAATTTTATATTTCTGATTTTGTAATTTTCAGTTTCAGGGTAAATTGTAATATAAAAATGAATATCCATTTCATTCATTTTTAGAGTTTCCATTACTCAGCTGAACTTTCCCATCTGCTCATTAAGTCTAGGAACATATTTATAATAGTTACTTTTAAGTCATCTGCTAGTTCATCCTGGGGTATGTTTCCATTGACTTTTTTTATTTTAACTAGAGATAACATTTTTGTTTCTTCATGTTTGGTAATTTTTGGTCATATACTGGATGTTCGAGATGAAACATTGTACAGACTCTGAATTCTGTTATAGTCCTATGAAGAATGTTGATTTGTATTCTAGGAGGTAGTTTTGGGTGGCTTAAGATCCAAACTTTTTCTGTGATGTAGACAGCAGTTGACATCTCAGTTCTTTCAGCCTTCCAAGTGCTCATTTTTTTTTTTTCCCCTTTTTGTCTTTTTTACTAATGGGATCGCAACCCTCGGTGTCGTGGCTGTACCGGGGACCGGCAGCGGGATCGCAACCCTCGGTGTTGCGCCTGCACCACGCTCAGCCAGTGAGCGGGAACCAGTCTCCACATGGGATCTGAACCCTCGGTGGGAGTGCCGCCGCGCTCTCAAGCAGTGCAGTCTCCAGTGCGCCACCGGGCCGGCCCCCAAGTGCTCATTTTAAGCAGGCCTCCGCAGTCTCTACACATGTGTTGTTTATGGCACAGTCAAGGATTTAGGCAGAGTTTACGGTCATATTTTGATGTTTTTCCCCTGTGGCTCCTTCTTTACAGGGTTTCTTCCTTTTTCAATCTCTCTGGCATCCCCAAATCCGTCCTCTGATTCTAGGTCAGTAAAACTGCAGTTTTCTGCTTGAGTTCCAGTTGCCCTGCCTAGGTCAGTCTGGGGAGTGCCCTCAGGTATAAAGCCAGGGAAATGCAGCTCTTCCACAGGTTGATATCCCTTCCGTTTCTATCTGTTTTGGACCCTTTTCACTAGCTTTCCAGTAGTTGATGATTATATTTTGTTAAGAGTTTATCATTGTTATCTGAAGGAAAGTTAACCTAATTGAGGCTACTCTGCCATTACTTGCAGCAGAACCTCTATTCCGTTTTGTTTGTATATTCTTTGGCTGACTGCATACCATTTACATTATTGAGAATTTGCAATGTGTTTCATAATCTGGTAGGACCAATTTCTACTCTTTGTCAGAATTTTCCTGCATCTTCCTGCAGCCCTTTGGCTGTACAGGAGCCCAGCTTACCATGTGATTGTGTTGCCTGGCCACAGGAAGTCAGCACTTTCCATCATTGCCCTTTGAGATATTGATCTGGTTAGCTCACTAACTGTGTGTAAATTTGGAATTTAATCAATTGTTTATTTTCAAAAATTCGTTTGAAATGTTTCTTCCTCATAATTTTGTTGATTTTCTAATATGTTAGAAATTGAATTGAGTTTCTTTTTGACTAATTTAAAAAATATAGCTCAGGACCTGAGAGATGTTGGCAGTCAAAAGTTCCATTTCCAGAGTTCCTTTTAAGCTCTTTTTCTTTTCTCCCACAGACCAGAGGTACTTTGAAATGAAGTAGTGGCAGGGAAGAGAGGGAAAATTACCTCTGAGCTATCCATGTTGTGGAAAGAATTGTGAAAGAGGGATTTTAAGGTGGTGTGCACTATAAGGATGACCTCAAAATCTATTTCTTTGTATTTTCTAGTGATAAGAGAGTAATAATAATTTTCAGTAAAACTAAATATATAAGTATAACCTGAAAATCTTAACTGTAGGTATATGTCTATTTTAATTAGAAGTTTTCCTATATTAAAAATACCAGTTGATATCCTTTTTAGATAATTTTAAAAAAACTGGATTATAAAAATAAGCACTGTTAGTAAGGCTTAATGGCATAGGTATTAGATCTTTCGTTTTGAGTAGACAAAATTAGAAAGGGCATTATAGGTATGATTTCATTAAACTAGAGAGCATTGGTGTTCACATTTTAAAAACATAATCATAACTTATCTGGAGTCATGTTCCATTTTATTGGCTTCCTTCATATAGAAAATATAGTAACTAGCACTAAATGCCTCTGAAAAAGTGAAGCAGCATATATTTTCTGGGTGAAGGAAGTATTCTGTACATTCTCCATGTTTTACATCATGGTATTTTGAATAACCATGCTTCCATGTTCACATCAATTTTTTGTTTTTCAATTTATGCACAGCACTTGCTCTGAAATTTGGGGACTGAGTACACCAAATACGATAGATCAGTGGGATACAACAGGCCTTTACAGCTTCTCTGAACAAACCAGGTGAATATTCTGCCCTCTGTCAAATCCTAGAGATCTTGTGTGTTGGGGGGGGGTGTATTGGAAGACCTATATTGGGTTGCTTAGTATAATTTTGCCTAGGATGTTTCCTTAATGTAAAATAAGGCATAGCATTTAAAATACCTGCTTGCCAGTTTAAAAAATATATTAAATGTTTGAGCTAATGTTTTGATTAATGCAATTCTAGTTTTGAGTCTTTAAATTATTGCATCCCCTAAAGAAGAAATTTGATAACTACATACTTATTTTAGTTTGAGATTATAGTCTGTTGTTGGCCTAATTTTTAAGTATAAATACATGACCAGATTTTGCTAAATTTCTTGTTGTCATTTAAATTTCATATTTATACTAATAAATACATAGTTATTTACTGAACCCCTTCTATTACAGTTAATAGTAGGCTAACTCGTCTTTATGTTACTTTTTAAAAACACCTCATTCTCTTTTTTTTGAGTATATTGGTATTTGTCCATTTCATTGTATCATATTCATCACCATCTGCATTTATGTGTGAACTATATAAATATACCTCAGTTTTCAAAACAATTACAACTGGGTAATGAGTTACATTAGTCTGAGTAAGTTATCACATCATTGTTGGTATTTACCATTCTTCACACTAATTCCTTTTTTTGGTTATTCAGTTACCTAAAGAATAACTGCCCTTAGAAGCATCTCTAAATAAGAGTTTGATTCACTAAAGATAGAAGTTGACAGTTTTTCAAGTATAATTGTACGATCCTTTTTCAAAAAAATCAGTTTTCCCAAGTGGCTAGCCTTTCATTGGCATGTGAGTCATTTAGGTAGCATATGTGAAAGAAACATCTGCTAGTGCTGCTGCTTACTTTTTTATCAGATCTGTTAAAATGTACATTTTTCTTCCTGATTCTCACTAAAACTAACTAAATGGCCGTCATTTCTTTCTTTATGCTCTTATTGTACTAATTTAGTTTATTTGCCCACACTTATTTTTTTGTTTTAAAGTTTCCTCCTTTCTTTTCCCCTTGCTTCCAAATAGGTCTCTTGATGGTCGTCTTCAGGTATCACATCGAAAAGGATTGCCACATGTTATATATTGCAGATTGTGGCGCTGGCCTGACCTTCACAGTCATCATGAACTCAAGGCAATTGAAAACTGCGAATATGCTTTTAATCTTAAAAAGGATGAAGTGTGTGTAAATCCTTACCACTATCAGAGAGTTGAGACACCAGGTAGGAAAATGGCAAGTTTTTCCCCTGGTTTTAAATGAAATGCCTGAACTTAAGTATACAGATGCTCCTTAACTTATGATGGGGTTATATCTCAATAGGCCCAGGAAAAAATGCCTAGGATGAACCATCTTCAGTCCGGGTCTGTCTGCATTTAGGTACTCTTGTGACCCAGGAAAATTTCAGTGTAAAATTGTAATAAATTAAATTCAGCATATTACTTGGTGGTAATTAAAAACACTTTTTTTTTCTTTAATAGAAAAACATGTTAGAGGGAGGGAAAGATAACACCAGTTTCTTGGGATAGCACACTGTTTGACATCAAAGTACATATCCAGGAAATACCATAGATTTGTAATCTGCTTAGAGCTAAACTGATATACCTCTATACCTCTCTGCTGCAGTAACTGTTTTCAAGCATTTTGCTCATTGAGTGTTTTTAGAAGTAGTTTAATGACATCATTTGTATATAAGCTTGTAGCAGGATTTTTCGTTTACATAGCTATGTACTTGAAACTTAAAAAAACATGTTAGCTATATTTTTAGAAGATTTTCTAAATCTGATTTTACCAGTCAAGACAAATCTTTCCTCAGCTTTTCCTATGGAGATTTGTAAATTTTTATGGTAATATAATATTACCAGGGTCACTTTGTCCCCAAAAGTATGAGATAAATTAGAACTTGGACATCTAGATGGTGGATTACATGATAAGGTAAATCCATAATCACATCTGTCAATTTCTCAGTAACTAGTATAATACCAAATAGATGGACCTTAACTTTAAAAAAACTAAGCTACTTTCTTTTTTTTCTTGGTGAAAGCTTCTAATAAAGTAACCCCCACCCCCAACCCCTGCTGCTCTTTGCCATTAACTCAGATTTCCTTAACTCTTTCAGTTTTGCCTCCGGTATTAGTGCCACGCCACACTGAGATCCTAACAGAACTACCGCCTCTGGATGATTATACCCACTCCATTCCAGAAAACACTAATTTCCCAGCAGGAATTGAGCCACAGAGTAATTACATCCCAGGTATTTTTGCCTTCTGAATTTCCTAAAACTTGGATAGATAGAAATTTTGTTCATAAACATTCAAATGTTAGTGAATTGTGGTTTCACTTTTAAAAAATGCTTCTGGATTTTGAATAGAAAAATCTGATTGGTTGGGTGGTTATTTTGTGAAATGTATAAGCCTAGTACATCCATTTTGTTTGGAGAAAAGTTTTACTTTATATTTCATTTTCTTTTGCAGTGGCTTTAATCAAAGTACTGTGAGAAGGAGAAAAGAAAAGATCTTAGTGAGTTTGTCTTAGTTGTCGAAGCTGAGAGAGATGCAGAATGTAAGCAAAATAAATGGTATAGGAAAAAAGTATTCCTGAAACAAATGTGACTAAAAATCAACCAAATAATTACTTTCTTGGGTAACTTAATAATGTTTAAGAGAAATGTAATATTTCTATAGGAGATAATAATATTTTAGTTCTATAGGTGTAGTAGTACTTATGTTATACTGAAAATCAGAAGACCTCTATTTTAATTGTCTCATCTGCACCTCAGTAATTTCTGATGAAAAATGAATGAATTCAACTTCACGGTTTTCAAATTTTGTTTGAACTCTTGTATTATTGTGATCCATTGATATTCCATGATACAGTACCTGCCTTTTTTCTTTTTACTAGTTTTAGGTGTACAAGTAACATTTTGTTATTTTTCTTGTTTTCCCCTTTTTGCTTATTTGGTTTTTTCCCCTAACACGTGTATCAAAAAGTAATTCTTTAATGTGTCCCATCATGAAAATAATGCTTATTTATTGAAGACAATTATAAAGTAAAAAAAGGAAAAAGTACTTTTTAAAAGCAGTTTTACAGATGGGAGGTGGCTACTGGTGCATTTCTTTGATTACTGTTTTATTCCAAAAGAGGTTTTAAGGCTGCTTTTGGGGTTGCTAGGAAATATAAACTTTTTGAGAAGAAAGGAGTTAAGGGCAGTATGATGGACTAGAATGAGGGAAAATGCAGGACTATAAAATAGGACAGTTCATAGGTAGAAGAATTTGGTCTTTCTTTTGTTTTTTTGTGTTTTGTTTGTTTTGGCAGCTGGCCAGTAAGGGGATCTAAACCCTTGATCTTGTTGTTACACACCATGCTCTAATCGACTGAGCTAAACAGCCAGCCTGGTCTTTGTTTTATAAACTTGTCTGGGAGTGAATTTTTGTTTATGTTTGTGTGGTGTGGTGGAGGAAGAGGTATTTTAAGTCTTTGTTGGGGGAATTACTGTTTTTCACCTATACTAGGAAACTTAGTTGTAAGCATACAGTTTTGTAAGACACTTACCCAATAATTATTTGGAAGAATTTTAACTAAAGTGTTCAGTGGCTTTCACTTGTGAATATGTTTAAGCTCATTTTTTCTTTCTTTATTCCTTTAGTTATTTAGCTTTGGGTATTTTTTAAAATGGGAAATCAGAAATGGATTAGACCTATTTGCTTTTGTGGAGAGTGGGCTTTGTCCAGCTCCAAGTAACAACAAAACCAAAGGGATCACTTTATATTCCTCTTCAAAAGAAATTTTAGGGCCGGCCCGGTGGCGCACTGGATAGTGCGCTGCTTGGGAAGCGCGGCGGCGCTCCCGTCCGAGGGTTCGGATCCCGCGTACGGACCGGCTCCCGCTCACTGGCTGAGCGAGGCGCGGGAGCAACGCCGAGGCTTGCGATCCCGTCGCCGGTCCCCGGTCCGGTACGGGGGCAACACTGAGGGTTGCGATCCGTTGCCGGACACGGAGAAAAGACAAAAAAAAAAAAATTTTTTTAACATTTCTGCAAAATACTAATAGCTTTATTATGTATTATTTTATAGACAAATAATAATGGAGCAAGGTAAAGAAAAACAATAGGATAAAGTATTATAAAGCTCAGCATTTCTTCCTGTTTCGACCTTTGTGACATTGGTAGTTAAACTGGCAAGGCTTAGCTCTGCTTCATTTTAGTAGTTTATCCTTTAAGATGTACATAACGTAATGTATTATTCTTATTTTTGTGTTCTTTATTGTTTGAATATATGAAGACATTTTATCCTTAGAATTGCAGTATTAGAAATTTTGTGGTACTGACACTTAAATGAAAAGTTTGATACTTAAGAAGTTAAAATTTGTGGTTAATTAATTTAAGAGAGATTATAAAGGATTAATATACTCCCTCTCTAACTTTTGTTAATTACAAAATTCTTTTTAGGTATGTGTCTGTGTTATTGTGTGTTGCTTAAAATTGTTCAGCAATATTAATGTTAAATTGTTGAAAATCTTTTGAACTTATTTTTCTTCCTTGATATTAGTGAAATTGTGTAAATGTTTTTTTATTTTACATGAAGACTTTTCAGCTACTTAGATGTTTCCTGAACATAAATATTTTGTTCAGAAAACATGTTGAAAGTGACACATTAGAATCCTCATACTTATTTTCAGGGAGTACTTTACCTCTGTATTGTGCAGTAGTGTATATTTGAATTGAATTTTCTATTTCAAACACTTAGAACTTACCATTTAGAAATCCCTGGAGAAATATACTTTTTAGGTTGCATTTGGACTAGATTAGTGCATTAGTTAAAATAGATACTAATGTCTTTTAAGCCAATGATTCAGAACTGAGGCATCTCAGAAGTTATATTTTTGGCTCTTGTATCAGAATATGTACATATGGGAATAAGCCAGATATATAAATAATGTCTAAGAAAATATGCCCAGAGAGCTAAATTGTATTACAAGTAGGTTTTAAGGATTCACCTGCAAGATTTGGATTAGAACCTGAATCATAGGCCCTCCATATCCAATACTGCCTTTTATGATAATATTATATAACATTTTTATTTGTTATTTGGAGTGATTCATTGTTTATCTTTGGTAGCTGGGAGAAATGTTGGTGAGATTACATCGTACCTATACCTGATTTGTTATAAATTTTTGTAGAAACACCACCTCCTGGGTATATCAGTGAAGATGGAGAAACAAGTGATCAACAGTTAAATCAAAGTATGGACACAGGTAAAAAATGTTTTAAAAAATTCCTCAATAATTATTTCTTGAATTGTTTGAAACTCACAAGAGATCTCTCTTTTAAATTTAGAGAAGTTGGGAAACATACCAAAAAAGAGAATCTTCTGTTTTGATTTAACCATATCTGAACCATCAAAGGGAGGGCCATATTGTCATTGAAAAATTAACATATGATGTTTTGCAGAATAATTGTTATAATTTTCTCTTGTTAGAGTAAATTGAAATTTGAGAATACTCACATGCTTATTTCTTTTTAAGTATTCTGTGCTTCTTTTTAAAGTTTAAGTAACCTTATGAATAAATCTCTTTGTGATAAAATACCATAATTAGCACAATAACAGATTTTCAGAGGAATTTGGGGGTAGTGGTGGGGATCAGTTTTTCATTACTCCTTTAACATAATAGTGAGTTCTGAATTGTAGTAGATTGTTAACACAAAATACCTTGAATCTGACCTAATTTGATTAATTTCGCATTTTTATCCAAATAATGATGGAGAAAAAATTTTAACATATAATAAATATTACACACCTCAAAGTTTAAAACTAGTTTTTATGTATAATAAAATGTGAAATTCAGCAGAACTAATAGGTTACCAGTGAAATCGCTTTGGTGTCATTGTCATTGTCCAGTTTGATTTTTTTCCACCCTATGTGTATCTTAAGGATTGGAAACCTTGATACCACAATGTGGCAAATTGAACCAACAGCCTTTCTACACATCTTACATTAATGCATTCTACAATTATTATAATTTGAATTATTTTTAAATGGATTAATATTGGCAGGGGAAGGAGCTTTTACAATAATTCCGTTGTTTAAATCCTTCCCTTTTTTAAGACTCCCAGGTAAAGAAGTGTCTCCTGTAGCTAATTATACTTATGGCTGTTAAAAGTAGCAGATAACTAAAAAAGGTAGATAATCTAATGATCATTAGAAATAACATGCTATATGTCTTAATGAAAATGATATTTGGCTTTCCAGATATGGCTTTTTTAGCATGCCTGGATGTCAAAGAACTCTATTCTTGAATGAACAATATTTGTTTTAGCCTTGTGACAAACAGCTGTTACTGGGGTATTTAAAAGTGAATGGCATGACCCTTAAGCCCCAAGCTGTGGGCAGGCAGGAGGCTGCAACCTCCAGTGCTCCACGGGGCCAGGCAGGTGACAGTATCCATGACCTTCTACCTTTGGGCTCAGCACTGGAGACTGGGGAAGGAGGGTGGTCACCTATCCCATGGTGGCACATGCAGCTCAGCTCTGGCTCTTGTCCTGCAAGTTGAAACAGGCTGCCCCTGAGACCTGCAGCAAAACCCACCTGCCTTTAACCTTGGAAGACATCTCAGAACCACCTGTAGTGCTCCCTGCTGCGTCCCCAGGCTCAGCTAGAGGATTCTCCAGCCCAGAAATACTCCCCAGGGACCAGAGGGGATGTTTTCCTGCTTTGCAAAACTCCCAGAGCCAAGTGGCTGTTCAGCACTCCCACCCAGCAATTACCCAGCTTATGGATGGGGAAGGTTGGCAGGTTGGGTGATCCTCCCAGCCTGTCTCAGCCCCCAGCTGGCCTGGATGGGGGAAGGCACCCACCTGTATGGACCCTTCCCTGGAAAGCAGAGAGGGGGCCCATCCTCATCCAGCATCGTATGAGGTGTCTTCAAAGAGTTTATGGAAAATTTATATTATGAAAAGCTATGCATGGACTGCAAATTTTTTTTTTTGTAGCAAAATAAACTCACTAACTTGTTATAATGTCTGAACAGGATCTAGTTTGAGGCTCTGAGAAGGATAAGACAGCACTTTGAAAAGAGCCCCTATCAGAGCAACATGAATTCTGCTAAATTGAAGCAAGAACAAACATCAGATTTATGGTGAAGCTTGGGTAGAAGAATGGTGAAATCACTGATGCTTTACGAAAAGTTTATGGGGACGACGCCCCAAAGAAATCAGCAGTTTACAAATGGATAACTTGTTTTAAGACGGGACACTACAGTATTGAAGAGGAAGCCCGCAGTGGCAGACCATTCACGTCAATTTGTGAGGAAAAAATTAATCTTGTCTGGCCCTAATTGAAGAGGACCAACGATTAACAGCCAAAACAGCCATCACTTATACATCTCACCTGGTTCAGCTTATAGAATTCTGACTGAATAATTACAGTTGAGCAAACTTTCCACTCGATGGGCACCAAAACTGTTGCACCCAGATCAGCTGCAGACAAAATCAGAGCTTTCCATGGAAGTTTTAAACAAGTGAGTTCAATATCCTGAAGTATTACTTTGAAGAATTGTAACAGGAGATGAAGCATGGCTTTGTCAGTATGATCCTAAAGACAAAGCACAATGAAAGCCATGGCTACCAAGAGATAGAAGTGGTCCAGTCAGAGCAAAAGCAGAAGTCTGTCAATAACAATGGCTATGGCAACAGTTTTTTGGGATGCTGAAATCATTTTGCTTGGTGACTTTCTGGAAGGCCAAACAAAGACGACAACTGCTTGTTATGAGAGTGTTTGGAGAAAGCTAGTCAGAGCTTTAGCAGAAAAACACCTGGGAAAGCTTCACCAGAGAGTCCTCCATCATAACAATGCACCTGCTTTGTTTCTCTCATCAAGGGCAGTTTTGCAAGAGTTTTGATGGGAAATCATTAAAAATCTACCTTATGTTCCTGATGTGGCTCCTTCCTACTTACTGTTGTTTCCTAATCTTAAAAATCTTTAAAGGGCTGCCATTTTTCTTCAGTTAATAATACAAAAAAGACTGCATTGACATGGTTAAATTCCCAGTATTCTCAGTTTTTTAGGCATAAATTAAGTGGCTGGTATCATCACTTACTAATGTGTCTTGAACTCGATAGAGCTTATGTTAAGAAAAAAAGTTTATGTTTTTGTCTTTTAATTCTATTTTTTCCACAGACTTTTTGATGTCACCTCATATATGGTCTGAGGAAACTCTGGAGGGCTTCCTGCAGGAGGTGACAGACTGTTGTAACCATGAGGCACTGTGGCCATGTGACTCACGGCTCAAGCCTGTGGTCTTAACAAAGGACTATGAAAGTGTGTGTGTTTTCTGATACTTGAAAAGAAAACTGCAGGTTCAAAACTTTAAAATGTTTGTAAAACTCTTCAAAAAAACATATTGTCAGAAATGCACGTACTTAATGTGGAATTCTCTCTTGGGTATCTCCAGCACCCAGAAGAGCTGTGTGACACACTCAGTAAATCCTGGTGAAGACTGGGCCAGGTGGGAGGCCAGGGGAGTGAATGGCATAAAAAAATGCTGAGCATCATAAACCACAGTGAGATACTACTTCATACCCACTAGATGACTATAATCAAAAAAGGACAATAAGTGTTGGTGAGGATGTGGAGAAATTGGAATCCTTATATGTTGATGGGAGGAATGTAAAATGGTTCAGCCGCTTTGGGAAAGTTTGGTGTTTCTCAAAAAGTTAAAAAAGAGTTATCATATGGCCTAGCAATTTCATTCCTGGACATATACCCAAGAGAACTAAGAACATGTCCACACAAAAACTTGTACACAACTGTTCATGTAAGTGTTATTTATAACATTCTAAAAGTAGAAACAATCCGAATGTCCAACAAATAACGAGTGGATGAATAAAATGAGGTGTATTCTTCCAGTAGAATATTATTCACCTGTATAAAAGAATGATAGTACATGAGGTGCTTATAACATGGATGAACCTTGGAAGCATTATGTTAAGTGAAAGCCAGAAACAAAAAGCCACAGGGATTCCAATTAGTGCACAAATACCTATACAACAATATAACTGAAACACTGAGGAGCAATAGTATGAATATGTTATGATAAATGAGTTAAAAAAGAAGAGAATAAGCTGGATCAGCTAAAATGAATTCAGTGTTGGGGCTAACTTTGAAACTAACAATATTTCTAATTCTATTTTAGTGGGGCAATGTTACTGACTTTCAGAATGACACATATAAAATTACTTCCTGGAATGATAGTGTGAATGGCTGGTTCATGAGATGCTAAAAGTTGGCTTGGCCACCAGTCTCTTACCCACCATCAATTCCTCTCTCAGTGTGATGGGAAGAAAGACAGTTCTGACTGATGCAGGGCCCCAATTTAGAACAAAATTGGCCTCCCCTCTAACTCTGGTCCATACCTTCCATGGGCAACGATGTAATTAAATTCGTCTTTCACACCCTGCTGGGATAAAATGAGTTAATATTTTTAAAAGAGGGCCACCAGAGGACAGATCAAGCAGAATAAGGAACTGTATGAACCAACACTTGTTACTTTCTTGCTTTAAATTTCTCTGGCCAAGCTTTCATTCTTCCTTTAATGTCTTGTGGTTGTTAGAGATCAGGCTGACATCACAAAAAATATAGTTTGATAAACTTTTGTGGTATTCTATAATCAGTCCCTTTTCAAGTCATGATTGATTTTTATGAACATATTTATTCAAACAGGTATATACAGAAATAGGGTCTAGTAGATGTATCCTAAGATGTAGATTTCATAACTCACAGTGCAGTTTTGTATCTTCTAAATGTACTGTGCTTGGTCCAGGATATACAAAGGTACAGGTTTAAAATACCTTCTAAATCTGCATTATCTCAATGGGTTGAACTGGATCTTCCAAATGATGATATGTTGGAGTCCTAACCTCCAGTACTTCAGATGTGACCTTATTTGGAAATAAGATGTAATTCTTTAAATTAAGATGAAGTCATACTGGAATAGGGTGGGCTCCTAATTTCATTTGACTGGTGTCTTTAAAAGATAAAAGAAAAGAGGATAAGGGGAAGAATGCAATGTGAAGATGAAGGCAGATATTGGAAGTAGCATCTACAAGCTAAGCAATGCCCAAGGATTGTTGGAGAAACCAGAAGCTTAAGAAAAAGGCATGAAACAGATTCTCCTCTAGAGCCTTTGAGAGAGCATGGCCTTGCCAACACCTTGATTCAAACTTCTGTTTTCCAGAAGTATGAGAGAATACATTTCTG